GTCTACTTTAGAGTAGAGTTTACTTAAGAGTGAAATTTTATAATCCTGCTGCAAATTACCTCACAAGTTTGTTTACATCTCTACGGCGCTTTTGGTACACTTGACAGATATGATGTTATAAATCATAATGTCTCTCCACTTATTTTTGCATGCTTTGCTTATGTACTGGTTCCAGTCCCCCATATAATAGGAAGATTTGTCTTTCTTGAAGTATTCGTAGTTTTTGCACAGGTGGTCATTGCAATATTGCATCCTTTTAAGGAAAATTGTACTATGAAGCCATGAATATTTGAGGTTGCCAGCCTCCATTTACTGAGAGTCAAAGTTGATTATGAGTTATACTGCTTGTTTGTCTTCTGCAACATGTTCCAAACTTACTAGGTTTGACACCCTGAACTTGACTCCATCTTCAGTATAACTTTCTACATCTCCTACCATCCCTCATTATCTCACTCTCATTTACTCTTTTGGTCTTTCCTGCCATCATCACTTTACTTCTTTTTTGGGATCATACTAAAAGATGGTTCAACGCTTTATGGGGTAGATACTTAATTCCAAACAATCAAGTGCATGTTTATCTTTTCTGTTTAATTAATGAGATTCGGTAGAGTTTGTGATCTTATTTTATGAATGCTTGTATGGTGTATTTTTACTATGAATCATTGATATAGATATTAGACACTCAGTTAGTTGAATTTATTATTTTGAAATTCATTAGTTTTGTGCTCCTTTCAACCCTTGGGCAGAGCCATACAACTATTTTTGTAGAAGAGGGAGAAAAGAACCTGAAGCCATAGCTGCTGCATCCTTAAAGCGTTTGTTTGTCGAAAACCAGCCTTACTTAGTTGGTGGGTACAGCCAACACCAACTGTCAAGTAATTCACAGCCTCCAAATGGCTCTAAGTTCTGCTCTAGCCTTCAGAGGCTGAAAGCCTCCCAGCTTGATGCTCCTAATGACATACTGTCTATGGCTGAGAAGTATAAATACATGAGGGACACCTTTCGAAAAAGACTAGCATTTGGTAAGATATAGTTTTCTTACTCATATGGTTACCTGAATTTCCTTGAAACATTTAAGAATGTTGTATGTAAATCTAGCTTCTCCTATTTGTGTTCAGTTTGGTTATCTTCACCAATCTCCTATCTGGTTCTTTTACTTTCTATTTAATTTTTGTAACAATATTGTGTTTCTTCTTTGAAGCTAGCAGTGTATGCTGGTATCCCAGAGTTTTATTAGTTCTTCCAGTAGTTTTCATATCATAGATGTTTTGCATGACCTTGGTTGTGTAGTTCGGTCACGTCATTCAGTGTTATATTTTACTCTTACTGTTGTTCTTCTGAGTTTTGTCTTTTGGAACTTCCTTTTCTTTTAACTGCAGGAAAATCGGGAATTCATGGTTTTGGTATCTTTGCAAAACACCCACATCGAGCAGGGGACATGGTAAACTAATGTTCTTAAGTAAATTTTGACTTGTAAAAGATTACTTTGAAGACTGATCATATCTCTTGTAGGTGATTGAGTACACGGGTGAACTTGTTAGACCTCCTGTAGCTGACAGGAGGGAGCATTTCATATATAATTCATTGGTGGTAAGTTAGGCTTTGTTATTCTTGCATGCATTTTATGTTGCCGGACAAATCACGTCAGAAGTAGGTATCAAAATTGTTCATGGATAACGAATTAGCTAGATGGAAATCGATGTTGCTATCTTCCCTTGATCTTGTTGGTCTTTAAGTGTAAACTATTAAAAGTGTCAAAAGCAATGTGAGCCGTAGATGCAAGCCCTAGCTGTATTAATAGATTTATACTTTATTCAATTCTATTCACATGGATAAGCTTGGCTATAGTTGCATACATCCTATCCTAAATTTTAGTTCACTAATCATGCGCTTAGGCATCTATTATTTTAGATTTCATCATGCTCATCTATTATTAGTTCTGTATACATCATATGTATCTCCATTTTAGAAACTTGTACATTTGTTGATGCTTGCGTATGAAATGAGAAAGAAATGGCTCTCTAAAGCTTTACCTTTTTGCATGCAGGGGGCTGGGACTTATATGTTCCGGATTGATGATGAACGAGTCATTGATGCCACAAGAGCTGGAAGCATTGCACACCTTATTAATCACTCTTGTGAAGTGCGTATTATCTGACTCTTGACTGCTTATTTAATTTTAATTTTGTGAAGTATCTATCATCTTGAATTGTCTTTGTACTGAACATAATCCAGAAGAAACTGAACTTCTCAAGGATGTGCAGAATCAAACTCTCCCATAAATACATGCCCACCACCCGCAGCAAAATCTCCTATGCTCCATTTAAGAACTCAAATTAAATATTGCCAGCACGGCACATCAACCAAGCACCAAGTCTCTTTTTCTCCCTCTAGAAACTTAGGGCATGCTTACTTATTTGGAATGGCATACCTAAGTTCAACAGGGGACCCACTTTTTCATTCATGATGAGTAAGCATCCCTTTGCGCTTCTCATAAAGTAATGCATCACAAGATTCTGGGAGTCATAATGTAGATTGACTTGATATCGTTTTCATTGAAGCAACAAGCTAAATGAATTAATAAGAAACGAGTTAATGAATGAATTATGGGAGAATGATGCCTCTGTTTAATAAGAAACGAGTTAATGAATGAATTAACTGATTAGAAGTTTTCTTATTCCTATCGATTTTTCCGAAACAAAGATTCATTGAGAAGAGAGCAAAGTGTTTGTTCTCAAGTAATATGGTAGTCGTAGAGGCTTCTAATTTTGTGTTCCTTTTTAACATTTTACACAGGTTTTTATTGGCATTTTTTAGATATGGTTGAAATCATATAATATATATTTTTAATATTGCGCATGCTTTTGTGATTACTGAATTTGTATTGAATGGCTTCTGCACGAGCTTTTTATTTGTTTATTTAACTTTATACTTGCTGACGTTTACCTTTCTGGTGTGCAGCCAAATTGCTACTCAAGAGTCATAAGTGTTAATAACGATGAGCATATAATTATATTTGCAAAGAGAGACATTAAACGATGGGAAGAACTTACATATGATTATAGGTTATCCTCAATTCTGGCTGTATGCAATTTTTCCTTTTTATTCATTTCAGGTGCTAATTTCTTCTTAATATCGCAGATTCTTTTCAATAGATGAACAGCTAGCATGTTATTGTGGTTTCCCAAGATGTCGGGGGGTGGTTAATGATGTTGAATCCGAAGAGCGAGCAACCAAGCTTTGTGCCCCTCGCAGCGAGTTAATAGATTGGAGTGGTGAATGATAAAAGGTAGGTGAACAGTAGCGCACTTTCTAAAATATTACTCCAAGATATATGTAAGCTGAAGATTTTCAGTGAGATATATAAATAGACGTTTTACCTTGAAAGTTGATGTTTGTTAGTAACCAACGCGTTGCATCTGCAATGCCCCAAAACCTACCTCCTTTCCCCCAATATTAATATTTTGGTATCTGCTCTGTATTTTTTTTTTCAGTGTCGTCTCACACTTCTGCCTCTAAGTCGCTGTGCTCATTTTTCTCTTCGCTGTCAATATCACATGACTAATTTGGTGTTCTTTGTCAATGTCCCATGCCGTTTGCATTGATAACGTTTTCCTTGTGCTGATTGTACCCTCCGTTTTTGTTTGTGCAGAAATGTCTTGTTGTAAAATATGTTCATTCAAGATCCCGCGACGGATTTCTCCCAACAATCTGCTTTAACTGTCTATTCTCTCAAGGCAGATGGAGTCCCCGGTTCTCTTGTTTTTACATGACAAAAAAAAAAAAAAAAACTAGCGATTCTGCAATTTTTTTTTTTAATTTTCTCGGAAGCTGATCCTCTTCTTGGTTCGGAGATGTAAATTTGAAGATGTCATCGAGATCCATAGCAAAGGTCAGTTTTACTTGGTTAATTGTAATTGTTCATTAAAGTACATCAAACTTTGTGGAAAATAAGTAGAGACTTTATGAATGGAAGGTAATTTGGTGGGTATAATCTCACCTTGGTTTCCAAGTTTTTGATGATTCCCTTCCTGTTTAGCTGCCTTACCGGCATTTTCTTTGCATAAATCTGCAGGGTTCCATCTAAAGAGATTGTTGGTCTTTTTCGCTAATTGAATTTTTGTATATCGGCTCGTTTGAGATTGCTTTTGTAAGAAACGCCAATATACACTCGTAAGAGCTTTTATTCGAAACAACTCGCAGGTGCTTTCGGAACATTTGCTAGATTAATGAAAACATTCCCGAAAAATTCGCTCGATTATTGCAAACATCTCAGGAAAGTTCTTTCTCAACTGTTCGTTCTTGATAAATTCAAGAATTGCATCTGAGTATGAAAGACATTGTCCACGACTGTCGTTGTTCTTATTACGTTGTTTGTGAAAGCTAATGGAATAGGACCGAAATCTTAATCTATCGTTGCCCCATTCTAAAGTGTCGAATGATGCCACAATGACAAACACCACATGCCATGTACTACGGAAAACTCCATAGATGCTTGGCTAGGACACAAAATCCGTATAAATGTTATGATCTCTTGCTCATTACGGTTAAAGAGGGAGTCCAACCATCAACCGTCACGTTATGTGGAGAATCTTCCATTATGGTCACTTTTGCCTCAAGTCTAGAATTAAGGCGAAAATAACTCTCACTTTACATAATAATTACCATAGCTAGAGCCCAGATGTCGATTGTTGGGGAGGGGGGAATTAGTAGAAATTGAAAGTTTAGAGGGGCATAAGAGATGAAGATGAAACTTGCGTGTCGAAAACGTAAGGTCTGGATTTTGTTTACGACAAGAGATTTTTGGGCCAGAGATTTTTCATACTGCAATAAACTGGACCCAAGCCCAAGACCAAGCCCAAACCCAACAAAATATGATGAGCCCAGCCCATGATTAAAAGCAAATAACCGCGTTAAGGCGGTGATGAGTCCTGCAACGTTAACATCAAATACAAACGGTCGTCTCTTTGCTTTTATTCAAATTTCAAATCCCATCTCTCTCTCTCTCTCTCTCTCTCTCTCTCTCTCTCTCTCAGGTCGAATTTTTCAGCGCGATCAAATCCCGGGTTTGGTTTTTTGGGCGACGAGCTTCCATCTGTTCTGGGATCGGAGGAACCCTAACGACTAACGAGCGAGCGAAATCGAAATCGAAATCAACTTCCAGGTTCCCTTTTTCTTCCTTTAATTTCTGGCTTATGCTTTCTCTATTTTCTGGCTTAATTTGCACTGCACCGTACGGAAAAGTTAGGGTTTTGTTTCTTGATTTGAATTTGAAATCCCGTTTGAAAATGAGAATGCCGTTGGGTTATTGGGGTGCGCCGTTGGGTTGCCGGTTTCATCCAACTGATCAAGAATTGGTCGCTTCCTATCTTCGCGTCAGAGCTATCGCCGGAAAGCCGTTGGGAATTCCCTTTATTTACGAGTACAATCTCTTTGGCCAAACACCACCCTGGGTGATTTGGGAAAACTTCGGCGGGAATTCCCTCCTCGATCAGGACTTGTTCTTCTTCTACGAGCTGCGTTCTAGCGGCAGCCGCAGCAAACGCCAGATCGAAGCTGGAGGCACTTGGAGCGGAACATCCTCCGACAAAGTTTTAGGCTTGGATGGAAATCAAATCGGGGAAAAACGGCACTTCAAGTATACAAACAAAGGCTCTGAGAACAATGGCGACTGGCTCTTGGAAGAGTACAGTCTTCTTCCTAGCGCAGTTGCTGGCGCAAAGGTGGTTCTTTCTCGACTTAAAAGGAATCCGAGGTCTAGGTGTGGAAACAAGATGGATTCCTCAGTTCCAACTCCTGAATTCAATGAGAAGCCACCAGTCAAGAGGGCAGGAAAACAAGTATTGAATGAGAAGCCGCCGGTTAAGAGAAAGAGAGCAAGAACAGAGGAATTGAATGAGAAGCCGTCAGTGAAGGAAGAAAAAAAAGAAGTGGGATCACAAACAAATACTAGTGCGAGTGTGGTCACCATTGGTGAACTACAAGACTGCCCTAGTACAAGCAGTAGTCCTGATGAAGGAAATAGGATGATTAGTGAGACTGCCAATAATGATCAGGAGTGCATAAGCAACATTCATGGCAATGCGAAGATGACCAATTTTTCTGTTCATGATTATGTGCCGCTGATGAGTGATGTTTATTCTGATCCAATATGCTTGGGCGGTGAAGGTGGTGGTACCACTAGCGATGAAGAAATTATTTTACATGCTGAGAATTTCTTCTAGGCTTTGACCAATGGTTGGGAACGGTTGAAGGTGAATCACCACAAGAACATCCTCAAATTGACGAATGCAGCCAACCGTCGGATGGAATCAAATACTGGACGGACTGCTTGTGGATGAGCGATTCTGCGAATGATCAATAGAGGAGATGTAGAAGGGACGGCAGCTGTCTAATTTCCACAGCGTCAGAAGCACAGTTTTTGATCATGACAAACTTTAATCGTCTTTCTTAGTATACATTTTATTTTGTTTGGTTCTTTAGTTAATTGAGAAATTTGGTGTAGGTGTTTTCCTTGGCTTCTTCTCTGCCTTACTGATCCATTGCATGCCTCTTCATTTTGCAGCCAACGGGTCTACTGTGTTCTCCCATTCATGTACCGAAGGACACATGTCCTTAAGTAAATTCTAGTTTTTCTGGGAAGTGGTTGAACGGTGAAGCTAGTGACCCCTTGGATGATCAGTTTCCACTGTGTATGTATGTGTTTCTAGGATCAGTGCCAATTTTAATGCACTGAAAGCTTATATTACAATTCTCTTCTGCCCAATGTTCTTACTTTCTGTTTATTTCTACTGCCAGAAGGTATCAAGGTTGGTGATTTCGATTACCATACTCAATCTCTTTTTATTTGAAATTCAGATTGATACTTTCTGTTCCTTTGAATTACTCCCTCTGTATGTGTGGTCGTGTGAGCGTGTGCGTGTTCTGTTTATTACACTTGCATTTTGATGTCAGAATGTCGTGTTTAGTTTTCCTTTCATGTTTCCCATTCTTCTTCGCTTTGTGAAGGTGTTGTTAATTTTGTTGGTGATGAGGACATTTCTTGCCACTGCTTCTATGGCTTTTGCTCGAACGTATGTTTCTCTCTTGAATTTTTAGTCTTGATACCTTAGCAACAACTTGTCTATATTAGATGAGGGACTTTCTGTTTTTGGCCTGCAGTGCAATTTTCTTACCGTAATTTTTTGTACTCAATCTCTTACTACAATACTTGCTGTGTTAGTTTACGTTTTACTACTTTTTTAATTAATAAAGTGGAAGCTATGGGCATGTACAACAATAAAGACATACATGGAACAGATTGAACGCCCCACGGAGCACTAGTCCAATAACGTAGTGTCATGTGTAAGTTTTTCTTCACATGTCAATACATTATTGGATTTGGATGTCACGGTGACGGTTAACCTGTTCCATGTAAGCTTGGAAGTTTTCCTGAATTTACAGTCAAGATTGTTCCGTTCTGTGCATTGTTTTTTCTGTTTTACAGGTTCAGTAGTCCAATAGTCTTAAGGCTGCTTTTCATGGAGCCTCATGTAAGTCCCTCTTCTTTTAATTGTTCACTGAATTTTTTTTATTCTTCCTTGGCAGTCGAGGCAAAAAACTCATCCGGATCTGCTTCAAACGCGAACTGTGAATGTTCTGTTAATGTACTTAAACAAAAGTTTCCTGCAAGCACACATACCTGCATACTAGTCATATATACGTGGGTGGGTTCATGTGTTTGCGATCTTCATTTTTGAACGGAGTAGTTGGTAACGGACGTGTTTAACAATATGATCTTGTTATTGTAGAAAAATAGAATGATACTTAAACTTTTGCAGATCTGAAATAGTATGATCAATCTTAATTGATCAAACTCTGATGACAGATGCAAGGAAAATCGTTTTATGTTCATCGATGCAAGGCTAGATATTAAGCTTAGCCAACTACGCAAACATGATGTTTTATGTGCTTTCACATTGTAGGGGACTTGGCCGGGGAACGAGCTACGTGGACTTGATCAGGGATATGAGTTCAGATGGTCTAGGAAATAATTTCAAGGCGAAGAAAAGCATCATCGAACCGTTGCTAAATAGTTTCTACAGAATGTGATGATTCGTTTGTAAAAATTTACCCAAAACGGGATTACTTTACGTTGTTCTAATGTCTTTTCATTAGTCTCCGTTACTCTGATAGAAAATGTGCAAAAAAGCTGGAAGTAGCAGTACGAATTTTATTTGAGTTATGCATCTGAGGTTGTACTTGCTGTGCTAATTTACGTTTAACTACTCTTTTTAGTAATAAAGTGGAAGCTATGGGCATGTGCAACAACACTTTTGTAATTCTGTGGGAGGGGAGGGTATGAGGGTGGTTTGGGTAAAGTTAGTTCTAGGATATTATGTTAACCAACAAGCATGTGGATGGTGTTTTTAGTGAAAAGTTGTGTTCAACAAATTGCGGGGAGTCGATAGAACCACTCAAGAGGAAGAAAGAAAAAAAAAAAGACGAAGAGAGAGGCCCCACCATGCCATGTGACAATCCAAAAAGGGATAAAGACTTAAATGGAACAGGACTCAACGCTCTGGGGAGCACATATTCAATAATGTATTATCATATGTAAGCTTTTTTTCACATATCAATGCATTATTGGACTTGTATGTCACGGTGACGGTTAACCTATGCCATGTAAGATGTTGTCCAACAGAGGCCCTCCATATGTTCAAAATGACTACAATACCTCTATCACATAAGCCACATAAAACAATATTTTACTTTATCCTAATAAAACAATATTTTACTTCATCTTAATTTTTATCACCGTGGTATTGCATTTTTTTGGACTTAATAACAATTATTACTATATAGAGGCGAGTTTTTTACAACATGAAATATACTTTGGCATAGTATGAAATTTATTCATACACATATAACTGGTTTAAGTTAGGATCAAATTTTTTTTATCTCAACATAGAAATTATTCCTAAATAGTTGATTTTTAATAGACGGTCCGATCATCAAGCAACATTACAAAATTAAACTGAAAAGACAGAACGAAAAGATCTGATTTCAAATGAAAAGATTACTAGCCTTCTTGCTGTAAGTCATGATAATAATACTTAACGATTGAATGATTGAGGTTGGCAGCATGCCACATGCATAATTAGTTGGCGCAGACAAACCCGCGCTACTGTATGAAATATTCATGCATGTGATTGGTCTGACTTCGATGTCTCTGTGAGAGAGAGAGAGAGAGAGAGAGAGCAATATGATCAACACACACAGAAAACTTGGAATTGTTGTCAGCTTTTTGGGGCACTGACGTTGGCCATGTGAGTCAGCTTGTATGTAAGGGAAGCATTGTACGTACAAATACTGGCCCCAAGTTCCTTTTCCAAATGCCCTTTTTTCCTCCCGATTGCATGTGACTCCCTCCGCTCTCTAACAACTAACAAGCAAAGAGATTCATCGATTTCATGGGTACACTGTTATTATAGCGGCTAGTACTAATAATACAAATATATGTTTGTTTCAGTCCATATAACGTTATCATTGATATGGTACGTCATAACACGTGTCATCTAAGTTGTTCTCTTCCGCAAGTATCGCAACACCAACCACATAAAAAGCTTGCTACTCACTCCACCCCATCCTTCCACTCCTAATTGTCTCTATATAAACCAGACGCTGAAAGTCTGGATCCAACCACTTTAACCACCTTCTCACTTGATAATCTTACAGTCGAAAGAGCAACAATGCTTTGCCAACCAGCTTTCATGCTTCTTCTCTGCACTTCTCTTACACTTGCTTCTCTTTTCCCCTACGGTCTCTCTCTCTCTCCCCCTCTCCCTCCCTCCCTCCCTCCCTCCCTCCCTCCCTCCTCCTCCTCTAAAATTTACTTGGGTTTTAATTAACTTGGTTAATTTTGATACATATATGTGTATATATATGTTGCAGGATGGGGAGCAAAATGCAGTACCAATGAGGAAGCTCCAACAGTGCAACAGACCCAGGTGGAGTTTGGAAGCTCTCCAAAATTCATGGTACAAGTGAATAACAAGTGCCCAATGTGCCCAATCATCAACGTCCATTTGAAGTGTGGAAGCTTTCCTCAAGCTCTGGTGAATCCCCGGCAGCTCAAGGTGCTTGCCGTCGATGATTGTGTAGTCAACGGCGGGTTGCCGTTGGCACCTCTGCAGACGTTTTCCTTCAATTACTCTCACCCAAAGTATCTCATGTATCCTAAGATTTGGTACTTTCAATGTGAGTGATTTGATGTAATTAAGTAATTAATTAGCAGACACTAATTTCCTTTGCTTTTAGTACAATTTGTTAGTTCATGTGAATTGTTCTTCATTAAGCTCATCTGCATGGAGCTAGTAGGGGATTACATTAAATGGATCAAAACAGTATTTGTTGATCCAACGAAACCAAATTGATGATAGAAGCTTTAAACTTGCTATGTAACTCAGAATTTAGGATAAAAATTGGGGGTTTTTTTAAGCCAAAATGATCATTGAGATTGACAGAACTTCTCACTTTGGTCCATAAAATTTAAAATCGATAAAATTGGTCATTGAGTTTGTTGAGTTTGTCCAACGTAAAAAATTTGGTTATTCGTGAAGATTCTCCTTTAAATAAAGGTAAAATGACAAAAATACCCTCAAATTTTGTAAAATCATTTTGATCCATTATTTATTAAATTGAGGGTATTTTTGTCATTTTGGTACTTATTTAACTGTGGTTTTTCAAAGAATGACCAAACTATTAACAGTGGACAAATTCAAAAATTAGTTCTATTGATTTCAAATCTCAAGAGACCAAATTCAACAACCAAATTTGGCTAAAAAGCCGAGTTTTGGATGCTCCTCCCCTTGAACCCAAGTTCGAACGGACATGATCACAACCAAACGTAAGATGAATTTACTATAGAATATCGTTTGTATCACGGCTAAAATTGTTTCATTAGCGTCAATAATGCGCATCCTTTTTCACCTGTTGCACGATCCATCCAAATTATTATGTCAACGAAAAAGATCCTTGCCGGATGCTTTTCCTAAGGATCCCATGACCGTGACCGTTTATCATACATCGTGCAATTAGAAATCATTTTAAAATTTAAAATTTAAAATTAAATATAAATAGTACTTAAGGAAAACTAACTATATGATGTATGATGAACGATCACGATTGATGAATCCCTAAGAAAAGGATCTGGCGAGAAAATCCTTTTCCTTATGTCAAAACATGGGCGCAAAGTTTAGCTTGGGCCACATCTTTGTCTAGTGTTGGGCTTTATCATTGGCTTGGAGCAGCTTGAACCTAATCCTTGGTTTTGCCATAACATGCCCTCATTTCCTTCTCTGGACAAACGCTGCAAATTTGTCATCGACAACTCAATTGTTCTCCTCTCCCAACCAACTTTGCTTTTCCATGGTATTATCTTCCTAGTCTAGAAAGCTGTCACATTTCTTTCGATTAAAACGTTGTCGGGTGCGCGTCACTTACTGCACCTAACTCTGTTTTAATCTGGCCGTTGAATGGAACAAATCAAAAGAAAAGAAAATCGAGGAATACGATTAAGAAGAAGTGCATGAGGTAAAAAAGGATAGCCAAAATGTAAAACTTTAGATCTTACATTAGCTCCGGTAAAGTTTTCGCAACTGTAACGCAACATATGATGATGTGAAATTTAACATGCATCTTGTATGTGCTGATGAAATTAGATATGTGGGCAATTCATCTGTGCAATACAAACAACGAGGCGATAACTGTGAAGTTCAAAGGCGCAGCCATCGAACCACTGGATCGAGCCACAGAGGACACATATACTAACGATCTTATGTACAATTATGTCAGGACCTAAGTTGAGACAATTCAAGACTTGAAAACCATATACAATATTCTCAGAAATCTTCAGAAATTCACAACGGGCAGAAAAATATAAACCCATAGCGAAGCTTCAAAACCATAAGTCTATCCTAGCTTGTGTTTTCACCTTCGGTGTTAATATAGACCCGCAAAATCACAACCTTTCTATACACCATGTCAAAAACCGTTTTCATAGTATTTTCTCTATTTTTTTTAATTTTCTTTCTTTACCTTGAAATCTGGCTGTCAGTATTTTGTTTTAGCTGTCCTCTTCACTAAACTCTGTGCAGCAGCATGGTTAGCAACACGAAGATTATAGCCCATCGGGTATTCAAATAGGAAGCAGAAGAGGAAGAAATATAGTGGGAACCTACTAAGTGCACTGTTCCACTCTGTTCATCCTGTACTTTAATACTCGATGAGCCTGAAATTGACCATAGAAAAGTTCAGATTAGTAAAAAGAAGAGAAACTCACATTTGAAAAGTGTCTAAAACCGTCTCTGGTAAGTAACCGGTAAGCCTAATTAGGATGTACTCATATTACTTGAACACACAGACATTAAGAACAGAAAATAACATGACACTCACAGTTATACTCGGTCCATCCAATGACTTGATTCTCAAGATCATACAGGACTAGCTTGTTTGAAAGTACCAAATCTGCAAGAAACACTTTAAATGATCAAGTCCACCAGGAATTTCATGCAACTCTCTTGTGTCTTGCTCATCTCATGTATCATGTCATTTAAACTTTATATAGCTATGCTTACCCAGTCTTTAGTTGCATTTGAAGATTGATGCCACATGACTATGGTCGCTTATACTGAATATTAACCATAACTACTTATAATACCACACACAATAAGTGTGGGAAAGTTGGCTATATTTATGATACATGGAATCGTAGTATAGAGCTAAACCCAAATATTATTCTTTATTAAGCGAAATTTTACATCAAATTAAAAAAATGGACATACGGTCTAAATAGTACATTTGGTTCAATTGTTCCATTAGACTCCTCAATTCCTCATAGGCATCCCAACACTGAATCTATGATCTCATCTTAACCTAAAGTAAATGTTACAATGAGAATCACAAGTATCAATGAATACTAGAGCAACGGTGTGAGTCAGCATGAACTGTATTACAGTCCTTAAGTTTCAAAGAGAAAATTTCCATATTTTCCTCATAAGTTTTTTTTTCTATAGGCACTTTGTTTTTCTCCATCCTTCCTTTTACATTCCCCTTTCGAAACAAGTATTTGTTTCTTATCAAAAAGCAAAATATCAAGACACCCCTACGTAGCTCCTCTATTTACTAGATTTCTCGTGACTATAAATCTTTAAAAGAAGAATTGATATTACAATTACTTACAATACCTAAGAAAGTCTTGCCTTGAACTTCGGAGTATATGCTATAACGATTCTAGACCTTATATTTTGGAAGTTATATATTTACTCAAGAAACTGAAAAGTCACTCCTCAACACAAACTAAGAATGAGACATTACCTCCCAAAAGAGTCAAGTTCTTCCTATCCCTTGATTGTATCCCACTGTTTTGCCAACCAATACACCAAAAGCCTTCCTGTAGAATAATAGATTATAGTGGAACAGAAATAAAAAAATTATCAAAATGAGAGGGTAACAATACTTGCATTAATAGCTCAACCAATATTTATCATATTTTAAAAAACAAAAATAGTAGCAACTGAAGAAATATAGTAATTGTTGGCCTTTTTTAATTTTTTAGTTGGACTCTCCCTTAGATGGACTACTTGTCCGTTTTCCTCAGCATCCTTTTACTCTTTTCTTTTACAGGATTGCAGTTTCTTAGAAATAAATTAATAACAATAAATTTGATAATTGGTACCACGGGAATAAGTATGCTAGCTGGGCCCATAAATAAACACACAGAATTCTAAAATCCAAAGCCAATTAGTTGGCAAAGATATGAAAGCAAAAACAAGCTAGTAATACGGGTAAACCTGAATAAGAATTAAGAACAACTCATCAATAAAGCCTGAAAAAAAATTCAGTTTAATATACTTACGTAAGTGAACAAATAGTCATGTGGATAAACCTTCAAAGAAAGTGAATTTTCAAAGTAAAAGGTGACCACAGGAAACCCATCATCAACACTGCAATAAAAAGCAAAAGGTACAAATATCAGGGAAGCGTCCTGCACTATACAATTTATTTATTTTGAATAAGAAACACAAACATAATGGACAAGCATTATATAAAAGCTAAAAACTGCCAGTCGCTTACCAAATTATATCTGTTCCAAATGAACAAGTTCAAGATAACGAATATATTGATTTACATCTACACAAAAACAGATGTACTTATATCCATTTTAACATTTACGGCTGTTGCATCCCTTCTAAACTTACAATGATTGCTCGTCTTATCTGATTCCAGTTAGCATTTAAGCACCTTATATAGAGATCCAATCAGCATTTTCTCTCTGGAATAATATATCACTCCAGACAAATCTTAATCTAATGACTCAAACATTCAAGATATTATAAATAATCAAAATTCAATAATATAAAACTTTCTTATCTGCTATTACTCCTAAAAGAAAATTCACAACGGAATACACCATACCTTCCTGGATACTGGAAGCATGTATACTCTCCGTGAACAGTTTGAACATTCAAATCATTCTGCTGAGCGATAATCTAATAAGAAAGCATTTCATTCAATACTGACGTAAATATTCACAGATTAAAAATAATAATAAAAATCATATTTATGAATGGAAAAAATTAATGACAATCTCCAGAAGAGAAAGTAATTGCATAGCACATACCTTACTTACTAAGGGCTGATAAATCACATCTGGAAGATAAGCCAATGTCGTACCACTGTCAATTATTGTCCCTTTTCTATCTCCCGATTCAAATACATCTGTTGGAAGACTTAGAAAAGAACGGCCAACTTGAACTGCTTTCATGTTGACGTTGTAGTGCGACCTAAATTTTTATAACAAATTGCAGCTTAATTTTCCAACAAAAGAAGAGCATTTTTTTTTCTGGTGACATTCTCATAGATGCAAAAGAAACAGCAAATTTTATGCACGAAAATATAGGAAATTATTAGATTATCTTCTGCATTTGAGAAAATATAGAAGTAATAATATTTGGTACTTCTTATAAGGTCCTTGAAAGCATTTTTAGAAAAGAAAAGGCAGGGATAACATAATGTTAAAAGTCGTAATCCAAAAGATAAGAAGATACTAGACATGTTTCAAAAGAAAATATGAATAAGATATAGTACATAGATAAGTTTTTCTATCCCTTTTCAGTCTTCTTTGTTTTATTGCTTTTGAATTACTATAAAATCAAAAATTATCTTCAACAATCTAAGAGAATGGTTGAATCGAATGGCTGTTACAGTTTATTTACAAGTTTGAAAACTTAATAAGAATAAATGTTTGCATTGCTTGCTTGACTTCTTGGGAAGCTTGGCTTTTAATCTGAGTCATATTATAAGCCGATGATTCTCGTCTAGTTTTATACATACCTAACAAGCAAAGAAAAAAATTAAAACATATAATACCACTAAATTATGGGAATAAAAAGTACTAAAATGAAACACCAGTTTTATCAAGCAAGAAAACGACCACAAAATACCACTTAAATGCACATAAAACAGATGAATGAAAACATTACAATATCAAAATGCAGAATAGAATACATACTGGTTTGGTACCAAGGGAGTCATGTTAACTTTTGGTTGTACAACACGCCCAATAGCAAAGATACCACCTCCATTCTTGCCATCTAAGCAATGAGCAAACATCTTCTTCACTTTCCCAGATGAAGCTAGCTGTGAAATAATTGAGGAATTTGATTTGCCAAAACCAAGTATTCCATCAAGTGCTCCTTCCCCAGATGAGCCTAGGTCACCAGATTGTGTAGCACCACACCTATTCACAAACGTCAATACAACCATACGAATGGTAACCATATTACACATATACATGCACATGTATATGGGCTCACAATCGAGAGAGAGAGAGAGAGAGAGAGAGAGATTGTTTTCTCCTATCAATCAACAACTGTTAGATTGTTTTCTCCTATCAATCAGCAACTGTTCATTCACTTTCTTTTCCTTTAATAAAAAGTAATTTATGACAACAAGCAAGTAGGTGGAATATCATTGTTCAGCAAGGGACAAGCAGTCCATCCAAAATTTATAAGAAGAACAAAATACCACGCTGTCAAAATTACACAGTTCAATGCAAAATAACAACTGATGGTTTACTTTGACCATTTTTGTGATGATAAAAGTATTTAGTTTTGCACACATATAGGAGTTACGAAAACTTCAGCTGAATTAAATGGGGGAAATGAACAGAAAAGGAGAAAAGGAAAGTTCAAGCAGTTAACCTAACTTCCTTGTTAGGGGAGGAGGACTTTGTTAAGTTGGAAGAACAAAATTCTTGAAGATTTTGGATGACCATATCATTGAATTATCCACTAAGAGCTCATTTATCATCAGTCTAACCCAAAATTATGTTTTATCCCGTCCATTTTTTCCCGAACTTACAACCCTCCCACCCTTGAACTAAATTATCCTCGTACCATAATTTAGAATCGGTCCATAGTTACAGCTGAAAATTGCATATCTTTGTCTTTTATGCACAGAACAAGTTTCCTATCACTATTTTGACCACTAATCTTCTCAACATGGCTGAATTAGTACTGATTTGAGGACTTGTTTGTCCCCAAACAGTTACATGTAACTTACCAAGCATTAGTCTCAATGAAGCATTTATTCCAATCAAGTACAAAATATCATACCAAGTAGGAAGAAATTACCCAAAAATGATGCTCCCATTGGCAGACGTAGTTTCAAGATCACCGGACACTCGATCATAAAACACAATATCCTTGACAAAGTAACCGGCAGTGGAGCTGCCATCCCCATATATTTGCAGGTAAGGGCATGTCATATTAGCCGTACATCCAGACAGCGGACCGTCATTTACGTCCAAGCAAAAATCTTGATTACAAGGAACCAATTTACCAGTGGAAGACTGCTTAAAATCATATAGAGTAAGATCAATCTGCCATAGCCAAACAACCCAAATAAGCAAAACACAACCAATTCATGGGGCAAAACAATAACGAAAACCCGAAAAGAAAACGATGCAAAGAATCAGATGGAGAGGTCTCAATCTCATACCCCAAGTGTGCTTCTCTTTGGGCAATCTCTGCATTGGATACAGTTGACCCACATAATATCACTGCCTGTATCAACTTGTACATAGTAGTCCTTGGTAGGTGTTCCAATTCCAATTTTGGCATAGTATAAACTACAAATTCCAAAACAAGCAAAACATATTAATAATTACCCAATTCAAAGCAACACGGAATATAAATATACATGAAGAATTGCGGTGGGGAGAGAAGAAATGGGTACCCAACGGCATCAGGGCGGCCAGAGCCGCCCAAGGGGAGGTCAACGTCGGCGAGAAATCGAAGAGTCCGCTGGATATCGTGAGCTTTAAGGGCGCTCAAGGAAGGCTCGCGGCCGGCGTACTTGTACTTGACGCTGAGAAAGGCGTTGTTGAGAGCGAAGGCGGTGGTGATTTTTGTTGAAATCAGGAGCAGGAATAGCAGGGAGAAGCTGGCGCACGAGCCTCTCAGAGTGGCCGCCGCGGTCATGATCGACACCGTCGTTGAAGCCATGGCTTGTTGGGTGGCAATGGCATGGAGGAGGAGACCCGGAGAGGCCAGAAGCGAGAAAGAAGAAAGGAAGGGGGAATTTGTATAGCCTTTTTGGTTTCGTTGTTGGCCGAGAGTCAAGTTGGTGGGAGGAGCAGTGGTGGGACCCACACCCACTCGCGTACTGTATAAGTCGCGAAACCAACGAATAACTGCCTCCCCTTGTATTCATTTCTTTCTTGTCCTTTGTTTGGCATTTGAAAATTCAAATTTACCCATTTCCCATGATCCTTTTTTGTAATTTACCTTCTGCTCGCAACTAAATTCTTAGGCACTTTCATTTGAGCTAAATTTATTTTAATAAAAAATTATCTAATAATTTTATTTAATAAAAAAATTAAAAATTAATGAAAATTCTTAAATTTTAGTAAAAATGACAAAAGAACTTAAATTCTAATAAAAATGACACAATTTTAATAAATAAATAAATAAACTTGACGCGCGAGACTCATGCATCTATCACAGACACTGAACGATACTACACTATTTACTGGTCCAATTTCATAAATAGTGTCTAACTTTTTTTCCACTTTCAAAATATTGTCTAGTTCTTGGTCATATTCATAAATAGTGTCTAGTTATTAGGTCTAGTTTCCTAAATAACATATTGTAATTGATGCAGTTTCATAAATAGTGTATCTTTCTTGGTCTAGTTTGTAAATAGTGCCTAGTTATTAGTAGACTTTCATAGTGCCTAACTTTTTGTCCAATAACATATAGTAATTGATGCAGTTTCATAAATAATGTATCTTTTTTAGTCCAGTTTCGTAAATAGTACATAGTTATTGGTTCATTTTCATAAATAGTGTATATTTCAGTTTCATAAATAGTTTTCACCTATTGGTTTAGTTTTGGAAATAGTGCCTAATTTTTGTTTTCGTTTCATAAATAGTGTCTACTTATTGGTTCAATTTCATAAATAGTGTTTACTTATTGGTCTAGTTTCATGAATAGCGTCTACTTATTGGACAAGTTTTATAAATAATGTTTAATTCTTGGTTTACTTTCATAAGATTTGAAACTTAGACAATTTTTGGTACTGTAAAAGCACCCATTACGCTGAAAACGATAAACCCAGAAGTGACCCTATAGATCAAAACCTTTAGAAGATTATGTTCTCTGTAATTATATTTAAAAAGTTTTCAATTACCAAATTAAATTTTCTCATATTTTTTATATACCTACAATAATAAATGTAGCTCTCCATCCAATTTCTTAAGCTTTGGCATCATCTTGGATAAAATTTTCGCAACTTGTATATAAACACGTGGTGTACCACCCTATATTTCGAGCACATTGAAAATCTCTTGTCATCTTGACTACTATTGGAAAACAACACCACAAAATTTTCACAATTTAATGTATTTTTTTTTCTTATTATTAAATAAAATTATTGAATGGTTTTTTATTTAAAAAAAAAAAAAGATTTGAAGCTTTTTTTATTAGTTTTTTTCTAAATTACTATTCACCTCTTCTTGAGGAATTTACATGGAACAAGTATTCAAAGGTGATGGGATTCGATATCAATCACGCGATATCAACTACCATGGAAATTTCATTGTATACTGGCGAAATATAGAAAAATCAATGAATTTTAATGATATTTATCGATTAACTACAGAAATTTGTCGGAATTCATTGCAAATTTTGAAATTTTGAATTATTTTTTATTTTTTCTCTAATTTCGACTTAATCTGAATGAGTTGATATACTCATTCCATTGTAAATTTTATAATTTCTGTCAAACACAATTGATATTGATATATCTGTCGATATTTTCATAAATTTGTATATCGATATTTCTATCTTTATTTGATATTTTAAATACAAAGTATATGACAAATGTAAGATAAGTTTGAAATATCGCGACATTTGATTTTAGTTGCACGTAAGTTATCTTCAATTATGTAAAATTTAAACCCCTAGATGTACCACAAAGACTATTCAAATGACAATTACTGTTTTGCCTTTTGTCGTTGGCTGGTTGATATCTATAGAATATATTTTGAAAATTTGACTTATTTCTAATGTCACGTCCCGACCCGGGCCCTCACCACATCCCGAGCTCTACTCCACCGTAACACGATATTGTCCGCTTTGGGCCCCTACCACACACTCACGGTTTTGTTTTTGGGAAATTGTAACATCTCACATCGGCCACGGGAGTGGATCCTAGAAGCCTTATATGTGTATTCCCATCTCTATCTATCACGATGCCTTTTAGGAGCTCACTGCTTTGAGTTCTATCAGAACTCCGAAGTTAAACGACTAGCGTGCGAGAGCAATCCCATGATAGGTGACCCACTTGGAAGTTCTCGTGTGAGTTCCCATAAACAAATCGTGAGGCTGTGGTCGGGGCTCAAAGTGGACAATATCGTGCTACGGTAGAGTCGAACCTGGGATGTGGTGGGGGCCCGGGCGAGGATGTGACAATCGCCAACACACCTTGATTTTGGTCAGGGTGTGTCATCTAAGACTACACAATACGCGTCTAAGTCTTATGTCTAAGAGAAGAAGACTTGGTATGTCACATCTCGTCTATGTGGCATATCTGCTTTGGGACTCCTCATTCTAGTGTGTGGTTTGTGGGGTGGCTGTATAGGAGTTTTAAATTATTTGCGTTTCGTTCTAATTACCTCTAGATCAAGAAATTGATCACTAGAGCAAGTGGCCCTTTACTACAGTGGTGAAAAGGTGTTGAACCCTTGCATGACGGCGTGGGTTCAAACCGTATCGGTAGCTAACCTAACATTATTTAACAAAATTTATCGTTTAACAAAAAAAACAAGAAAAAAAAAGATCACTGGAGCATATGTACCCATTTGCCACCCTTGTAATTGGTTGTTTATGATAACGAAACTCTATCGCTTCTATAAAAAAAAAAAAAAAAAAAAAAAAAAAAAGGACTTGGTTTGCGGGATTGAAACTGATTTCATGAATATTAAGAATTATGAGGTGAAATCTATATCTTTAATTGAAATATATGTTTTAGTTATGGACAAGAGCAAGGCTTGGCTCCTCAAAATTGAGGGGTTCTTAATTTAGACTTGTACTTGGAGGAAAAAGTCTTTAGCAAGGCTCAAGATTTTGATATATTGTCATGGTGGAGGACAAATAAGATTAAATACCCTATTTTACATTAGATAACCCGAGACATTTTGGCTATTCTTATATCCATAGTAGGCTACATTTAGCATTGGTGATAGTATTATTAACCCACATTATAGTCGACTTCATTTAGCACTGGTGATAGGATTATTAACCCACATTATTATCCGAGACATTTTGGTTAAAATATTAAAATATTAGTTTAATATTTTAACTTTTATTGTGTAAACATTATATATATATAGTAAGTTATGGAGTATATATCTATATATATATCCATAACTTACCGTCTGGGCCTAATTTTAACTTTTATTGTGGAATCAAGTTCAAACTCTACTATTCGTGTTGAAGATTTTTCGTTTGGTGACGATACTGATGTGAATGTGGTAAAGATAACTTTTAATTTTTGTTTTTTATTTTTTGGCTGTTGTTGATTGATTGGGATACTAATTCAATTGGTCCATTTCTTTTGTAGGCCTCTTGTTGTGATAATGAGTCACGAGACTTTGTGATTAAACATGCCAAAGCATTAGAGTGTTCGAAGGTTAGTTTTGGGTATGTGTTGGAGATTAGGCTAATTTTTGAAGCTTTGAATCTTCTAGTATACAAGATTGATATACTCGTTTACAGAACCATACAAGATTGGCTAATTTTTGAAGCTTTGAATCTTTTAGATTGGAAGCTTCAACTTTGTAATCATATACATTTTGATTTTATTTTAATCTTGGTCTAGATGTTTTAATTAAAAACTTCCTTGGATTTAGCTGAAAAGTATGTTGCATAATATACTTTAGTTTGAAAATGAAAATAGTTGAAAAAAAATGAAAATACAATTATGGAATTTAAACAAAATTATGAAAAATTCTATTTTGATTTTCAACTTCTTAAAAAACCAGTAAATAAGTAAACGAAGACACGGTTACAGATACATTTACTCGTTCATAAACGATTATGGTTATTGGTATACTCGTTTACAGAACTATCCAACGAATAAACGGTTATGCGGGTAATAATTTAAACAGTAATGAATAAATAACCGTGATTACTCTCCAGCCATAACCGTTGCCCGTACGTAATTCCCTATCAATGATATAAGAAATTTCCCATCTTTTACGATGGCATCAGAGTAGGTTTTTCCTGCACCATTGAAATTTTCGTTTTTCTTCCTCTTTCCCATCGTGTTTCGAGCCCCTATTATGTCCATCATTCAGGTCATCCGAATCTTTTGTTGGTAGTATTAGAGGATACGGAAAATGAATGGCTAGGATTAAAAAAAAAAAAAAAAACGATCTAAATAGTGGTGGAAATCAAATCTAACGGCTTAAAATACCTGTAACATTGACTGATACGTAGCATTGAAGCCTTATCCCGTACATAAAACATGTTATATACTCAATTTCTTGATAAATTGATTAATGATACCAGTGCATATCAGGGACATACAACATGCTTGCGACTAGTGGCTATGATTAGCACGTCTCGAGGAACCTAACCTGTCTCTCTTGCACAGTTTATATACAGTTCCAGCTTCCCGTTCGCAGTCCGGTACAAATCATATGCATTTGTATCTTGTTCCTACCAATGGAGCCGAAAACTGGCTGCCTGCATAAGGGGGTGTGCAAAGTATGCACCTAACGTCAACGCAGTGATTGACAAATATGGCAACCGAATAAATTCCTTGTAGTAATCTTTGGGCAACTTTTGTCGGCCATCAAGAATCGCTGCAAATGGTATGATACTTGTTCGTTTCTTAACAACTTCAAAGGCCTCCCCGTATCTTACAGCTAATCTCCTGTCACCATTCCAAGCACCAAACAGGTGGTGTCCGATTAAACCAAGAGAAGCTGCCACCGCCACGGAGTTCCCTATCCAAATCGTGTGAGCCAGGCACCATATTACCTGTCCGGCCAGCTAAGGGAAATACAAAACCATTACCAAATTGTCTTAACAAATCAGAAATGAGGGGGAGAAAGAGAAAGGAAAAGAGGACAGAAGGTGCAGGCAAACATAAAACACCATTATTATATCTCTACTAATTAATAAAATACTCACAGTCAACCAAAATCCTATAAAATTATCAGTTTAACCTCTAATTAAAACATAACATGAATAAAAAATATGAGGCAGAAATGTAATTTTACACAATCAAATTTTGTTGTTTTTTTTTTCAAAGCCTCACCTACATGTAATCCTAACATATTTCTAATTAAAAAAAAAAAAACACTTCCCACTCCCACATTGTCTATCACTCCCTTCCTCTCTCCTTCTATTTCAAAAACAAAAATAAAAATTTTTCTCACACTTTGTGTGTGCCCATATGCTAGTTAGAGAATAATCAAAATAGCAAATAAACCCTAAGAAAAACTGACAACAGCCTGGTGATTTTGGAAAAATCGAAGGCATCATATTGCATCGAAACTTGAAAATGTTCATAACACATTTTGTACAATTCAATGGTAGAACTGACACCAGCGTTCATTCAAAGACCCAAAGGGCAACCGAATGCCAGTAAATGAACTTGTTACCTGTGGATGCCTGGTTATTCTCATAATCCCAGTTTCCCAAAGATGCATTTTGGGCTTGTCAACGGCTGCTACCTCTAGTAGATTGAAAGTTGAGGGATAAAGGAATAAGAACGAAACGAAATTTGAGAGCCACACAAGTTCATGGACACCAAATACATTCTTCACATCCCATAACTGTAGTCCATCGTACCTGTGGTTAATAAAGAACACCTGAATCACAAACCCTCAGAAGTCAATTCCCTCCACACCGTCGAACAAAGAATTTAACGCAGAAAAAGTAGCAGCGAATGAAGTTAGATATAGAAAAGGAAGGATAGAGTTCCTTATAGAGAGTGAGGAACTCACAACAGTTGTAACAGCCAGTGGTAAAGATGTCCCCGCAAACAAAACACGGAAAGCACGTTCACCAATAAGTTTCTCACCTGCATCACGTAGACTAGCCAAACCACTATGGAAAATGGCAAATATTAGAATCAGGATCAACATCACAACCTGCAGAATACCATTTCAAACCTCAGATTTTATAACCAAAACCCTTATCACATTTTACAGCTCTCAATACAGCAATTGATCAAAAGAAAACCAAAACACAAGGGAATTTATTTATTCCACTAAAAAGAAGCATGCACCCAATCAATGCACGCGAAGCACCTAAGAGGAAACCAGAATGGAAGTTGCACACGCTCTTGTTCCAAAAATTCAACCAAACGAACACTCTATCGAGTCTATCCTATTTTCAGGAAACAACTGTTAAACCAGATTTAAATACGACCGCCCTGTATGGACATTGTCACCCCCATTATCCTCGTCATTATAAAAGCAACACAATTGATACCATAGCTTCCATAAACAGTATTCAACATTTAAAAGTTTAAACACGATTCCTTTTACCGCAATTCCCAACTAAACATTCACAAATTTTACTATCCACATACTGACCACACATCCCCTTCCCTTTTTCACTTCCACTGTTAGTGTAATTATTCTCGAGAATTAACAGAAGACATCACTGTAATGCTGTTTCGAACCTACATTCTGATTTGAACATATTGGTGTATCATCCCATTTCGTTTTCATCCTAATTCAATCCAATTCTTTGTTTCCTTAATAACAACACACAAGCAATTAGTAACACCCTAATGAATGATTAATGATGTTATTAATAGCTTTAATTAAATTCCTCAACATACAAACAACCTGACACCAGCTTTTAACTCAATAATTTGTACTCAATCAAAATTACCACAATGAGATTGAGAAACAAAATTTACCTCAGGGCTATCGGAAAGTTCCGAAACCGCATCGACGAAGGGCTTTCCGAGTCCGGTGGAATTATCCAGCCAAGCAACATTGAGTATGAACAGAACAGTACCCAGAATTGCAGTGAAATAAATCCACGAGGACAGCTTCTGCTTCGACAACACAAACTCAGCCGAGTCCTCCCCCACCACCGGCTGCTCGTCGCCGTCGCCGTCGCTGCCGTCTCTGACGGTGATGAAGGTGCGAAATTTGCGGGACAAGTGAATTTGGTTGCGAGGGATGGGGTGGAAAGTGGGTTGTTGGTTGGCTTTCAGAAAGGTAGAAGCTTTGAGGGTTTGGCGGGTGGATGAAAAGGAGGGGGTCTTGGGCTTGTTTGGGTTTAGGGATTGGGGAGGACAGGAAGAGAAGATGGTTGAGAGGACAAACGTGGAGGAGGAGGAGGCCATTGAAAGTGGAGGAGTAGGAATCTGAACTGCCTGTGATTGTTAACTGTTACAGATTACAGAGAGAAGAAAGAAGGGATGGAAGAAGATGGAAGGTTGGTGGGAAGAGGGAGGGAAAGGAGTATCTGGAGGAAGTTATGCTTTTGGGTGGAGGTTTTGGACTGATGGTACTTTTGTTCTCTTCAGTCGTTCATTCCTCGTACTTGAGGGGTGAGGATGGATGTTGAGGTGGCGGATTCACCGGTTTATGATTAAAATCGTTCAATTATAAATTAGGATGAATTGTTAATTTAGTACTTGGTGGGTATATGGATTCACGGGCTTGTGATTAAAATTATTCAATTATAAATTAGAGTGAATTGTCAATTTAGTTCTTAAATTATCACGGAGTGAAAATTAAATCTCAATACTTTTTTTTTTCCTAAAAAATTAGTCATTAAATTATGAAATTCTGCTAATTACATCCTTAATATTATATTTGAAGCTACTATAATCAATTTCTCTCAATTTAAGTCACGTTATTTGTATGTGATACACATTAGAGGGTAGATTGATAATTTTTTATTTATAAAGAAATAGTTTATGAAGTTAACTTTGGATAATAACTTAGACGTTAGGTTCGATGAAATGTTAAGGGCTTATAGGCGAAAAAATAACGGTATTACACTTTAAAGTGTGTCAAGTGACTTAAGTTGACGAAAAATTGAATAAAATAGCTTTGATAGTAGGGATGAAATTAGCAGTTTTTAATGAATTTAGGCACTTATTTACCTAAAATATAATTTAGGAACCTAATTTTCATAGAGATGATAATTCAATGACTAAATCGGCACCTCTTCCTATAAATTATTTTTATAAAAAACAATTAAAATTAACGTTTAGTCAATCAATTGTTGTGACATCCCACATCGCCTAGAGGAGTGATCCTTAAATGTATATTCTCATCCCTACCTAGCGCGAAGCCTTTTGGGAGCTCACTGGCTTTGGGTTCCGTAGGAACTCCGAAGTTAAGCGAGAAGGGGGCTAGAACAATCCTATGATGGGTGACCAACTGGGAAGTTGCTCGTGAGTTCCCAAAAACAAAACCGTGATGGAATGGTAAGCCCAAAGCAGACAATATCGTGCTACGGTGTGGAGCGGGCCCAGGAAGTGGTCCCGCCCGGGCCGGGATGTGACAATTTGGTATCAAAGCCTAACTCTGGTCGCGTGTATGCCGACAAGGACGTCGGGCCCCTAAGGGGGGTGGATTGTGACATCCCACATCGCCCAGGGGAGTGATCCTTAAATGTATATTCCTATCCCTACCTAGCGCGAGGCCTTTTAGGAGCTCACTGACTTCGGGTTCCGTAGGAACTTCGAAGTTAAGCGAGAGGGGGGCTAGAACAATCTCATGATGGGTGACCCACTGGGAAGTTGCTCGTGAGTTCTCAAAAACAAAATCGTGAGGGAATGGTAAACTCAAAACGGACAATATCATGCTACAGTGGTAGAGCGGGCCCGAGAAGTGGTCCCGCCCGGGCCGGGATGTGACAATTGTAGCATGCAAATAGACAGTTCGTAATTCATTTATCGAATTTGTTTACCTGTTTTTATACAGTTTGATGACCAAACGATCCCATATTTAATTGATTTTTTGGAGAGATGATCTTTACATTTTAATTTATAATATGAGCAACATAAATGCTAAGAAGATTTTTTCAAAGTGAAACTCATAATTAGCATTGCTAACATTATAAAACATTATGCAAAAACATGAGATGACAAAGAATCCCTATGGAGAGTCCCACTTTTAAGAATCTTCTTAGTATTTCTCACATGAACAATTCGGATCGTAAGTGAAGTTCTGTGAATCAGCCACATAGTGAATTGAGGAGGAATTATTCAAATACCGGAACTCCTACTCATTCGAGGAGCCAAGTTAATCCCTCATCGATGCAGTCTACCGAGTGTGTCCTATCATTATCATATCATGAAACACGATACGTACTACTCATGGATTTCCGTCACATAATTTGATTATATCCAGCATTTTCATCCATCAAAGACAAAATTTCGTGTTTTGCAAGGCATTAAAAAGCCATTGGAGGGCCTAATAAAGCAATTAGAAATCAAATGCAAGGCAACCAGGAAAGAAAAGACAGCTTGGATTACAAGAAAAAGCACAAAATAAGAAGACGAGCAGAAACATACTCACCCAAGGAGAACATTTCCGACCACTCACCAACATACAAAATCAAGGCAGCCTGAACAACCACAAGGCTTCAGGTTCAAGACTTGTATTTACAGAAATCCCAGATCGACGACGCTAAAGAGAGACAATGTAATACCGCGTCTCCCTTCAAACAAATCTGAAAATAGAACCTGAAATCCTTTTTTTTTCGCCGAGATTTATGTGAAAAATAGAAAAAAAAATCAACCAATCACTATAACAATGAAAAGAGATATAGACAATGACAAGAAAATTAATCACCCTACAATCAAGAAGGCACAGGAGCAGGCAAGTCGAAAAAAGTGTGCCACTGCTGCTGTTGGTTTTTGTACTAACTCCCTTCCGGATACTGCAGGCGATTTTCCAGAGCTCATTTCCTCTCCGGTTGGCGAGAAATGGGAAGTAGTGTTTGATGAATTGGAGTTGAGGAAGAGGCAAACCACAGCACAATCATCAACCTTGGCATACGGATATTTTATCCTCCAAGCACGAGTTGCTGACTCTACCAGGGCTCGAGCAGCAGATGGTCGTGGAGCTAATGCTACTATATCCACTACTTCCTCATTTGAGAGGACATCCCATATCTGCAGAGGACAGGAGACAATATCTAAGTAAATACATGTAAGCCAATACTAAACCATCTGTACAGTGACACTTTTCATGTGCATATTTGAATCTATGACGTCAGTTGGATTTATATGGTTTTTTTAAGTTAAGTCGACTTGTAAAAATTATCAAGATATCTCCACTAGCGGATCAAATAAACAGCACTTCTGCCCCCAAACGAAATAAAACACATCTGCCCGGTAATCAAAGCCAGTTTCATTGTAGATAAAGTTAGAAACCTCAGAGTTTTGGATTTTCATGTTTTCCAGACCAAGAACATGGTACTTTAATTCAAAGAAAGAAAAAGAATAGAAGAATGCTTAGAGAGGTGGAAGATTAACTACACAAATGGACGAATTAAAGACTGAAATTAAGACTCCAATGGATGAGGCTAAGCAGGAATATTATAGAGAGAATGTACAAACACGAAAATAATTTTTTCGTTGCTGGCAAGGAAAAAAAAAAGGTAAAGATAGAAGCTTTTTTACAATTCCAGCGCAGGACTCAAACGCTTAAACAGAACACTCTTATGCAGATTAATTCCACCATTCTTGCTCCGATACCCCTATGTGCATGACTTGACATGTCAAACCTTCCTCATATGTTCTAACACTATTACCATGCAGAGATTATTGCTAAACGGTGAATCTGTCGCACTTCAACCTTATTAGCGCTAATCAACATGCCTTTGTTGCTTGAAGAAGGATAGGGGACAACATCTTCCTAGTTTAGAAGCTCACGACGAATTGCATAACACCCTTGGCACCCTGAAAATGTTTCCTTAAGGTTTACCTGATAAAAGCCTATGAAATGGTACACTGGGGTTTAAGTTTTTATGTGCTTACAGCTTTGAAGTTTCTAGTTGTTATGGTTAGTATATTAGTGTTTGCTTCTCCATTGGCGATGGAAGAAGTCAAATACTATCCTAGTGAATACTCAAAAGTTCCATCCCACTACCATTTCTTTGAGGCCTGCTGATCCTATACATTCGCTCCTTGAGTGGATACTCTTCCCATTATCTGTATTAGCTTAGGCCTTTGGATGGTTCCGACTTCTTGCCTCTAGATGGGTTCGTCTTTATTTGAGGGGTCCGGTCGTATCCCTTCCCCCGCTTGCATTTATTTTGAACTTACAGTCTCCGTTCTGTCCAATTTTAGTTTACTGCTTAATCCACCACTAACCAAAATAAATAAATACATTGGCATTATAGTTTTCCACTAAAGACCATAATAAGTGTGACACTCAAAAGAAAAATATATGCTGGTAAATTGCATCTATACAAAAAGCTGTAGGCCACAACATATAAGGAAAGAGATTTCTTACCCCATCTGTAGCTAACACTACAAATTCATCCTTCTCAGTGAGGCGACGATAAGATAAATCAGGGACAGAGATTAAGCCAAAGTCCTTTAGGCAGAAATCTCCAAAAGCCCGTGCCATGGCCAGGCCAGGTGAATTACAGTTGGGCAACCAAACTCGAGCGATCTCAGGCTCATTTTGGAGAGCAAATACTCGTCCCTTGCATAGCCTGATCCTCTCTGCTTCCCCTAGATGGATACAAAAAAATTGGATTCAAAACTAACTTTAATGACCCCATATTATTAATCCAGGATTTATAATTGTATGATAAAGAATGATTACGTTAAAACACCAATTAAGCTACAAGTAGTAATAGTATATTGACCATATCAACTACTGCAACACCAAAATTTTAAGTGTGTATGCATGAGCACATGCCCATGTGTAGGTGGGTGCTGCAAGTGTTCATGTCAGCATGTGAACTTACTTTCATAATCCAATTCAAACAAACAAGCTGTATCCATGCACCCAACCATTTCAAAACAAATTTGCACTCAACTACCAAGAAATGGAGTAAACATGACATGCTGAGACAATAGATAACATCTAAGAGGACATATTGACCATGGTCCTCTGCAAAGGAAAGACCTTGTAAAGCACTATGCAGCTAAGGCTTTTCAGCCTTCGATATGGATGCGGGCTTTCATTCCCTTACTACAGAAGTTTCCACAGCACAACTATTCAGTCCTAACTCCTAAATCGCGTCACTTTTCAGATTAATATTAGAGATATTTTATTTTGTGCATCAGGATTCAGTTGTCACAATGAATTATATATGACAAATCAGAATCTATAATTGGGTCACTGCTCTTGATTTATAGAAACTATCAAAGATAGAAATCGTCATCTGGATCCCATTGTAATAATTTAATGGTTCATAATCAATTTAAGGAATATGAGACTGATATTATGAGTAACGTGTGCATTTGACAAGCGGTAATCAAATGCAGCGGTTAAATATAAAGTTCAATTCTTCATATTATTTAACTTTTAACTCTAGACTAGAAAGA